GAATTTTTTTTAGAACTACTGGGTTTGCTCGAGTTTGTTCCATTTGCATGTATAGTTGTATCTTGACCTATTTCAAAGCTATTTATATTTTGACACGAATAACACTTAACGGATAATTGAGAGGATGTCGTTAGATTCTTAGGTATTGGAAACTCTAGTTGAGAGCTGCAATTATTACACTGTTTGTGAAAGTATTCTGGTTTATGAGAGGTAATAACATGAGTTCCCATTTTTTATGACTAATTGGCTATTACTTATTATATCGTTTCTTGACAAAAAGATTTAAATTCGGTGGGGCGTAAAGGAACAACCGAATCTGAAAACTTTATACGTAGACCTATAATTCAGTAATTCACATGAGATAGCCGTTTTAAGTATTGAGTAGTACAAAACCAGAATCCCAGTTCTCGGTTATAAAAATTCATAAATTTGATCTTTTTACCTAAACTACCTAAACTACCTAAACTGAGATTTTTTACATTAGTGATGGCTGATAAAAGAAAAGAATCGCCTTCTTTAACACAGAGATCCGGCCAACTTGTTAAGAAACAGAGGCCAGAACCATCAAATAATTCGCTGATCATTTCAGCAAGTTCTGGTAATGGTGCTTTAACACAGACGGTTCGTTTATATGTACTTCTTCAGTCAAAGCTTTGTTTGTATTTTCTAAGCTATACTCTCTATAGGTCAAACGTACTTCTGGACTTCAATCCCCTATAATGTTATTAAGTGGACATCAGGTGTGAGGTTGTTGTTTGCTTCAAAAGACTAATAAATTTTCGCCAGTATAAATAAACGACTGCTGACTTATTTCTTGCTTTGTCAGGGAGAAATTTTTACTTTAAGGTTTGACCCAACAGGACAACACATTGCTTCAGGATCTTTTGATAGAAATATATGTATGAAAGATAATTACTTTTCTGATTCATTATCATATATCAATGATTCAATTTTTTTATCAATTGTTTTCCTAGTAATGTGGAACACTTATGGCGACTGCCTTAATTACGGCTTGTTGAAAGGTCACAACGGTGCGATTATGGAATTGCAGTGGTCTCGTGACTCTAGGTATTATAATTATGATTCTATTATATATAGATTTTTCAGTATCTTTATTGATTTAAATCTGTTTTAAATCTTTAGTAAAATATATTCATGTGCAACAGACAAAACTGTTAGTGTATGGGATGTTGAAACTGGTACGAGAATAAAGAAATTT